TGTTTGTTTGTGTCCTCACACTAGTTTCCTTAAAGTTCAGATAAGTACCTGTGTTTGTTCCAGGAGCCTCACGTGTCCTCACACTTGTTTCTAATTGGCTGCTTCCGTCTTCCGTTGAACATTAATGAGAAGGTTTCTGATTGGCTGCTGCTTGTGTGATCAGTGAAGTCACCCAATCAAATGTTGGATATCAATTCTTACCGATTCACTCTCAAGTATAACTTGTTTTTTTATTCACAAAACTCGTGATAAAGATAATCCAACTGTCCAGTTATATCAACTCTGTTGTTTGGCCTTTCATTGCATTCCTTTTCTAAACTGTAACTCAGATGAACAATCTAAAATGTAATCTAAAACCACACAAAAAGTTATTATAGATAATAATGAAAATAAACCGAATACATAGCAACATATTATTCAGGGAAGACAACTAGATATTTTATTTGTTGGGAGGTAATAAGGGATCTGGATTATTGATGCAGGCTCTTTATGGCAAAAGTCAATGCTTGATAAAACTCCTCTATCGAGGTGAAACAATGAAAACTTATCTAAGGTTTGATTTGGTTGCAGGGCAATTTTTAGGGACATGAATAAATATAAATACATATCAATATAAAAAAGATGTACATTTTCTGTCCTAAATACTTGACTTTACAGGATCTCATTGCTTGGCTTTTATTCCACCGCAGACATTTTGTCATGTCATAACAGGAAAAGCACATCAGCTATATGGAATAACATTAATAACGGCTGCACCCCCCTTGGTGGAGGTCCTGGTGTTGTGCTTGGCAGATATCTAGAACACTTTACTGGGATGCTAAATGGAATTGAGCCTTTACATTATTTGTTTTACCTCCACCAAGGAGCTCATGTTTCCACCCGTTTGTTCGTTTAGTTGGTTGGTTTGTAAGTAAGAACACAAAAACTACTGGATGGATTACCACGTGGAAAGGTTGTTGTATCAGGTATGTTACAGAATGTGCAGTGAATTTAAATGTAGTTTCATATAGGGGGCCTTGCTATGGTATGGTAAGTATGTACTCTCTGACTGCCATTGTAGTTCTGCCTTTGCTGCTCGGCAAAGTAAAAAGATATGGTAAATACAAAATATTTGGTCAGTATGTTTTCTCACTTCTCGTCCTGGCATGAAGAAGTACAGTTTTTACAGATCACATGGTGCAGGCTGATGTATATAAGCCGATATACCTCCACAACTTTGCTTTATTCATTGTTGAGAGATTTTCTGTGTCATACAACAAATAAGAGGTATAAGCAGAAAGCATTTTAATCATCTGACATGACCAAAGAAATACTGAAATGCAATGAAACACGTGTTTGAAAAGCAGTGTGGTTAACAGGCTTACAGAGAGTGTGTGTCAGGGTCATGATTAATAAGCAAAACGTTTTAGTCAATGCACCTGGACATCAGTAATATCATTTCATTATATTCATTTCTAAGTTTGTAGCAGAAACTGCATTGCCTCCACATATTGCCGGCAGACCGCGACCTCACAGGAAGCTTAAAGGATTCACGTGGGCACACACATGTTAACTTAGAGGAAGTGCTTAATGATATGACATTGGCAGGAATAAAACAATTGTGATAATCTTCCCACCTCAGCACCAGAAATAATGAAGATCAGTTCTCCCGTTTCTGATTGTCAACATTTCTTTTGTGCTTTTTCTTCTGCAGGAGGGTCACAGCTACGAGTTAAATAATAACACATGGAAAAATAATTCTGTGGTACGAGTCCTCTCATTGTACTCTCAGTGTCACAGTGTGTGTAGGCAGCAAAGCAGAGTCTTCACCGGCCCTTCCTCCTGAGCTGGAGCCACAGACAGGGCTTCATGATGCACCCTTTTGTGGCATAAAACCTGGGTCATCAGCAACCTTCAAGCAATCTTCCATTATTCTAGCTGCACCTCCACATTTTGGGTCAAAGAAGAGGAATGTTGAGGGCCATGAGACCAACCTGTAGCTCCGGTTTTGGCTGTGATCTCAAAACAAACAAGATTTTCTCTTTCCTGAGCCGTACGTTTGCCGTATGCACATTTTGTTTTGCATGATGACAGAAGCCATAGTTAGCTTTGCTTTTTTTGGTCGTTGGGCTGGATTTATAGCAGTGTGAGTTAAAAAATAAATACTTTTTCAGGAGTTCAGGGCAGCCGAAAGACAGTGAGCCAAACAGAGCATCCTTCAGTCTTGTGTTAGCATCTCCCTCCAGTTGAAACTGTGATTGGGTCCATGTGTCAGAGGCATGATGGGTGGGTCAGTCAACTGCCACACCCCCGTCTCACCCATTTCTTCACATGCACAAAAACCCAAGTAAGGAATCTACGCAGAAAAAGCAGACAGATGAGTTTGTTATCAAAAAAAAAGAGATGCAAAGAGGATAGAATTCAAAGAAGCATCGTCAGGAGCAGACTGACCTTCCGGACAACTTGGACAAAGTCCTTCGAGTTTTGGGGACTCAGGCCTTGTATCTGGCGAGTGCAGGCCTCCAGGGAAGAGGCATGGGCAACGATCAGGACTGTGTTTCCTGTTTAAAAGAGGTAGAGACGCACATTCCATAGATAGCACGGATGTTTGGGAACACTCACTAGTCATTATAGGCAGTTTGAAGTGTTCAGGCTCTTTGACATAGAGGCTGGGACAGTATCAACAGAAAAATGTTTGCTTTTGGCCTTCAGAATCAAAAGTAAACATTTTGATTCAGAAGGCAAGCAGGCTGAGAACAAAGTGCTAATATAAAAACTGTATTTTCTTTTACAATTATGTCACCCTATTCAGTTAGGTTACAGGGTGTGTAGAGTCTGGTACATTTTCTGAGGATAGGACCAGCGATGCAGGAGCATGTCTCATTGTTCAGTTCAGATTTTTCTTTATACTCAGTGTGATTCAGTTGGATACCTGTTACATGAACAAACTTAAGTTGGAACAACAACACAACTCGGACATTGGGATCTTAAGAGGAACAGGAGGATGCACACTTTACCTAAGTTCTTGCACTGGGCCAGGATCTCTCGTGTCACTTGGAAGCTCCGGCTGATGTAGGTGTCGTAAGACTCTGAAACCACCAGCTTACTTATGGGAATATGAGGTCTAGGAACAAAACCGGAACCAGAGAAGCTTATTGTCAACCACAGCTTGGCAAAAAACAAAGAAAAAGTGCATTGATTCTATAGCACTTGCTGTGTACCTGTACGTTGTGTCCACACTCAGGTTAGCAGCAGCCAGCTCAGCGGGGGGGATCCAGCTGGGTAAACACGTGCCCGAAACCCACTTGGTCCATTCAAACAAACCGGGCTCCACTCTGAGTTTTGTCTTTCCCTCCTGCTGGAGACCTGAGGCACAGAGAAAACCTGTCAGACAGGAAGTCGTCTCTTCTAGTCACACTGCATTTACTAATGTAGTAATGTCAGTTTGTCTTCCTCTGTTAGAACTTGTGTATAAAATCTATAATCATTAGGTGCAAAGAAATGAAAAGAAGTTAGACTTTCTGTTGAATCTCTTTCCTCTCCAGTCCTTTTGTTTCTGAGTGACAACTCAAGGTACAACTGAAGGTTTGTTGTTAACAATTAATGCTTTAAATAATGAAACAAACCATATTAACCACACATCTAAACCAAACAGAAGGTTTAAGATCCAAAAGCTAACACACAAAAACAAGCTGTGAATCATTCCAGCTGAGGAACCTAAAAAAGATGCTGTGTCAGTTGTCTGTGATCGTGGTCGGAGTATTGACGAGGGAAATGAAGACGAGTTCCTACCCTGCAGAATGTGCTGAGCTGTCTGGACACAGCGGAGAGAAGGAGAGCAGTAAATGAAGTCTACCGCTGCGTGGCTTTCCAACAGAGCTTCACCTGTGATGGATCAAAACACAGTGTGAGTCTTTTGTCAGGCATCTTGATTGTTAAATAATTAAAGAAACATAATTACCTCCGCCAAGGAGGTTGTGATTTTATTTCGTTTGTTTGTTACTTAGCTGGATCATGCAAAAAATACTACTACACAAAACTTGGCGGAAAGATGCGGTAGGGGTCAGAGAAGAATCCATTAAATGTTGGTACAGATCCAGATGAGGGGGCGGTTCCAGGAATTTTTATCACTTTCTTGTGTTCATTGTGAGGGGGGATGTTTTTCCACATCTGTTGAGCAGTATCCGCTCTTTAATCATTTAGTCATCTGTGGTAACTATGCATCAGTACTCATTGAATTAAACGAGTAAAAATCAATCAATATAAAAAATGCACTGACCCACAAGACGAGCCTGGGTTGAGCCAAACACTGTAATTGGACAATCTTTATCATAGTCCCGATGACCTCCGCCTCTGGCCGGCAGGCTGGACGGCATGTTGAGATTAGAGCGAACATATCGACCTTCACAGACACAAATGAGACTCTTATGAGAAGACAGAAATACTCAAGTCCAACATGTCTGATGTAAGTCTGCAGGATGACTCATCTCTCCTGCATGCTAACCTTTGGAGTCAAAGCACTGAGTGACCCAGTGTTTCCCAAACACCACGTCCATCCTCTCCCCATGGCGACACACAAACAGTCTCATCTTAGACAGGGAGGACTGACTCGTTGGCCTCGACACCTGAGAGGAAAATTTTAAATTGTGAGGAATTGGACACAAGCTGCACAGAACTGATCTAAAGCTGGAAACACAGCACTCACTGGAAGGCACGACATCGCCACTAGAGAGCAGCGAGGTTCATGATGCTGAGGATACTTACTTTTACCATGCATGCAACAGGAGGAGTCCCACAATACAAAAACCACTGTACCTGCATGGGCGGACAGAGGCCGGCCAGGCTGGGAGGATCCACCAGACTGTCGAGTAGAGTGTCGTTGATCTGTCCGTCAAACAACAACCCGCCCACAGTGGTGCCAGAGTTAGATGGAGAGGCACAGTTGAGGATGGAGTGTGACCTGAGGAAACACACAGAACTCATCTCAAGTTTCAAATATGAGTAAATCTATCCAACAGTACAAACAAAATCTTAATGAAATGAAACCTGCTCCTGCACACGCGAAAGAATTGATGTGATGCGACCATGCAGATAAAAAGGAATTAACAAAAGTCCAGCACAGTTAACTCCCTATGCTCCAGACCATACACCAAGATCTTCCTATCTACACTTGTTAGTTTATAAGTCAAGGCCTCAAGTTTCTGAAATTCCTTAACATTTTTAACTTGTTTTCATGGATGT